ATGGACTAACCCAACTTTTGGGTTAAAAATGTTATGTAAAAATTTAACCCAACAGTTGGGTTAGTCCATATTTGACCCAAAGTTGGGTTAAAACAACCCAGCATTTTTTAGAGTGTGTATTTTGTTTGTTGTTTTCAAGAAACTAAGTGAAAATGTAGTGTATCAAAATGTGTAACATGCATACATTTGATTTGTACTAAAAGGTTGTAGAGATTCGACTTATTGTAGCAGCTGAAGACATGGTGTCCTTGAACTGTAGTGATAATAGTACAGGACTGATAACGTGTTCATAATCACTGATACCTTTATGCTCAGTCATTGTTTAATGTAGTGCCATGTGTGATCTGGTTTTGATGTCTCACTTATTGTCACTCAAATGTTACAGATCAACAATTTAAAGTCCTTTAAAAACTGTATGTATAATTTAAACATATTTGTCACTATTAATTTTGTCTTCAATGACAAAAAATGGGTATATGGTTATGACCTTTGCCTAAATTGTGCTCATTTAGCTTAGTAACAATAGTATGGTATTAAGTTTCTTCTCGCTTGTTTATTTGTTCCACAGGCCTAAGGGGGCACACAGTTGTTGTAAAGGGAATTAAAAAAAAATAAAAGTACTGGAAATATCAACTTAAAATGTTTGACATTACCTTTCTGAAAGAAAACAGCTTGAACCAGCCTACTAAGGTTTGTTGGTCTTGCAAGTTGGCACTCAGCTGGTTTAAGTTGTTAACTAATTAGTCTCCCAAGACTGACCAGCGTAAAACTGCCTAAATCACTCTAAAACTGGCCCACAGATCACTCTGACCAGGCTAGTGTTGGGTTGGTTTTTCTTTCAACAGGGTATCTGTAAAACAGTGGAAAGATCAAATGTAAACACTACATTTTAGATGAGATTAGTTTAGTGGAAAGACCAGATGACCACAAAACAGCCTGATATGAAAATGTAAATGGCTGAATATTGTGTTTTAATTTTTATATACCTCATCAAAAACACTCTACAGTACACTAATGCTGATGAAATCCCTGTATGATTATCTTGCACTGAAAATTACAGTCTTACTTACAATTCCAGTATTTAGTTAGGAAGATAAGATGAGCCTTACAAAATAGTCTGGCTAAAATACACAATATTTGATATATATTCTTTTAGCTCTTCTAAAACCACATTTGTATTCAACACACTCCCCTGTCCACCAGAAGTAGGCGTCGTACATACACGTTGATATTCCATGCATTCTGGTTTTATGGCAAATTTCACTGCTAGCAATCAACAGAACAAAAAAATCAGTTACATATTTGGGTCATTCTTACTATTCGGTGGCATCTCAGCTTGGTAACTTTTCAATCAAAACAAAAGTTTACATTTCCATGATTTAATCATTTTATCTGAAGAAGGGCTACAAGACTATACACTACAAGAAAAATATATTGTTCCAGCTCAAGATATTATTCTTTAATAATTATTCTTGAAAATTCTTCACACATGCAAGGGCCAAATGTCCACCCTGTTACATTCTCATCTCAATAAGTGTTTTGAATGCACAGTTATTGTAATGTTTACATTTTCTAGGAGCTAAAATGTCCCTGTCTTTACCTTGCAAATGTATTTTAACAAAATGTTCATAAACGGGCATTATCTTGAAAAAAGTCGTATTTTAAGGCACAGTGCAATTTCCACACATTTCTTTTAGAATAATAAGAAATTTCAATGGAATTTTTGCCCCGTTTTAAATTATTTAATTTGATCATTTCCTTCCCTACAAGTAACCACAAAGATATGCATTACATTTGTTGAACTTATTTTATTAACATAAAAAAACAAAGAGGTAACACTTTGAACAGAGGGGAAACGGGGTGGACATCACACCACTGACATGAATATATGTCAACATATTGCCTATTACACACAAAGCATATTGTCACAATTTGTCAGAATTTACAATTACTACAACAGATAAGTGCTTCTGTATACAACACTTTCGTCACATTAAATTAAGTTGTTCTTATACCTATTATTATAAGATCTCATTTGTTATACTATCCCTTTATTTGGCTACTAAATATGTTTATCATTGTATTTCACAATTTAAAGTTTATAGTTTTAGAGAATATATATTATTTCACTCTCTCTCTCTCTCTCTCTCTCTCACACACACACACACACACACACACACACCACAAAACACTGCATTATTTATGATTTATAAGCTGTACCAAAGTGGGACCAAAAAATGACCCCACAAGGTCAAAATTTACTGGTATTAATATTTGTGTCATTCTCAGAACTTTTGATCATGACTGTACATGCTGTAAACACTTATCTTTTTATTTTTTTATTTGTATTTTTTTTTTACAATATGTCCACCCTGTAACAGGAGGGACATTTTATGCTAAAGTCAGCCATTGCAACTCATGTGATGAACAACAAGCTAGTGCGTATATAGTGATCACCAAGGAAGATTTTTAACCTGTTTACTAACCATATTTTCAAAATGACAAACAATTATCAGTTTCCACTATAAATAAGCATAACAGAGTGGACATGTTATGCGTTACCACATCAGTGAATCAGTCTAAAACATTGAAAAAAGGGTGAATTAAAGAGTGATATTATGCTTCTTGTAGATAGCTTGCCACCAAAAAGTATTCTATACTTCCTCTTCATGAGAGTCATGTGTTTAGTCTACTTGCACTAAAATCAGAGTAATTATTTTTAATTCATTCATTTTTTGGTACACTTTTATAGTGTTCTATATCATGGGGACACAAATGGCACTAAATAGGCTACTAGAAAATGACCCGTTTGTAAACAACAACTATGCTTATTTGTGATAAGTTATAACCAGTGTTGTGGGTAACGCATTACAAGTAACGCGAGTTACGTAATCAGATTACTTTTTTCAAGTAACTAGTAAAGTAACGCATTACTTTTTAATTTACAAGAGAATATCTGAGTTACTTTTTCAAATAAGTAAGGCGAGTTACTTTTTTTTTCCAATTTATTGACTGACAGCTCTCCTGTCCCCATGTTGAGAGAAATCAGATGTTACTGTAGTTCTAAAATAAATATGAATATGCATTAATTCATCTCACTCACACACAAAACAAACACAGATTCAGTATTCCTCAAAATGAATAAAAATAATGCAACTCAGAATATGACGCAAACCTGCAATAATTAAATGTTAAACAACACAAATATCCTTTATGTATTTAATCCCATTCTATTTGCTTCTGACCTTCGATGATCCAGTTCAACCGTACTAATAAGCACAAATTACTCTAGACAAACATTT